AAACTGTCATGGGTAGGAAAAATTCTGTTGCGGTGGCGTTTAATTTTACAAGTCAGTCACACGTTAGAAAACAGTATTTTATGGTGTTTAATTTTTTTTCCAAGACAGCCGCCAAAGGGTTAGAGATTTCTAATACATAAAGTAAATACATGAAGAAATCGGTTAACGGCATAGAAGATACGTCCAGACACAAAAAACAAAAATAAAAACACATCATTGTAAAAACAATACCTTCTCAAATTACGCATCGAAGCTAAAATAAAAATTGTTTTTTGGTAAAATATGCCGTTCTTAAAAATATAATACATAAGGACTCGTTTTAATCATCAAGACATAATATTAGGTAACTCACGGAGCATGATCTAACCTCTCTCTGGATAGTTTTTTTTATTCAGCGAATTTAAATTCCCTTTATTCTTTATCCAGCGAGATAAGGGTTTTCCATACTTAGGTCAATACTTCCTAGTATACTTATTATTCATTATTATATGAAATATAAATTATATAAAATATGAATTGTGTGAGTATAAGACGACCTGACGATGGACAACATCAACAACGCTAGTCGAATACTCGAATGACTAAAATCTAAATTGTAGAAAAACGATCATTTTTACAATTCAGTATAAATTGCAATGCTCTGCCAATGATCCTCGTTTTAATAGTATTTTGTTATACACCGTACATGACAATATATCTAAAAATAATATCCTCATCTGCAATTTGCGGGTGCCATGCGACGACGACGATAGCGGTCGATAAGAAATGTCACGCACTCGCAGGCACAAGTCAATAAACTGTTTGAAACCACAAAATTTGAAATTGAAATTTCACTTTAATACATCATTCTACTTCAAACGTACTGTCCTTAAAAATACTCCGATTTAAATTTTTAAAAAACATTTGAATTCTTCACAACATTTTCAAGGCATCGGTCGTGGCACAATTTTAAAATTAATTTCAGTTAATTAATTATTTCAATGTAAAAAAATGCAATTTTTTAACTTTTTTAAACTGAAATAATTAATTAATTAAAAATAATTTTAAAATTGTGCCAAGACCGATGCCTTGAAAATGTTTTGAAGAATACAAACATTTTTTCAAAACTTAAATCGGCGTATTCTTAGGAACAGTACGTTTGAATTAGAATGAGTTGTTTTCGACTAAAAAAACGCAGGTGTAGAGGCCCCTTATGGGGGAACATCCCAATGAGTTATCGACAAATTCCGTAGGAGCGCGCCACTATTATCGGTTGCAATAAAATAATATAAATTGTACACGTACTGTCGTCGCACGTCGGCAACCGGCAACGTGCGACGGTCTGGTGCGATAAACAACAATGTTCTCAGTTAACAATACTATTGTCATATGCCTACCTACCTATCCGACCGATTATGAACCCATCGGCCGAATTTACGGAACATAATATGTTCAGTAAATTCCGTATATTATATACACCGTTCAAAATAAAAAGCGATCTCGGTGGCTATCTGAATTCCACGTAGAAAAACCGGTTTTCAGGTAGCCGCTGAAGTCGCTTGTTATTTTGAACAAGAATATACAAGATAATAATATTATTATTATTATTTATCATTTATATTATGAATGATATTAGAATTATTTGTTACTTCGTGACTAGGTCGTACTGTGTAGATTGCTATACTTAAATTTAGATACATTTTGCGTTTTTACCAAAACGAATGTTTAGGCATGTTATATGTCATTACCATTTGCGTCCCTGAAGTGAAAGCGGTAAAATCGCAAAGTGTGGTTTTTTCTAAAAAATAACGGCAAACAAAAACATGGCCGACCATTTAAAAGCAAAAAAAAAAAGCTCGAGACCCCAACTCATTGAAAGTTTAACTTATAATAGAATGCAAAAAAAATATTCTCTAGTCGTTCCAGAGACTCCTTCAAGTTCTCTAGAGATTCCGCTTTCTGTGGAAAATACAAATATGTAAGTATATCATTGCAGTAATAATAAGTATTTGTTTATTTGACCAATAATATATTATAATAAAATGCAAGCCAATAGAGGTATAATCTCCATTAGCATACATACTCTGTAATACAAAATATAATGAATTATCTATTAACCCATTTTCCAAAATTTAACCCCTAAGAGTGTAAAAAGAAAACGCGTATATTCTAAACAATAAAAACTCTCCGTTAGCTTGGATCAAATTAAAAAAAAAAGAGCATATTGCAAAACCCCGGGCGAAGCCGGGCAACACAGCTAGTATACTATATTATAGTACATACTACGGGTACATATATATATATATATATATATATATATGCATATGGCGTATTGACCGGGAGTGCCTATGGCTAACTTTATGCCAGCTCGGTCGCCAGGGTGCATGGCATTTCAGCCATGCACCCGGGGTTGATAGTGTGGGTCGCCGCTAAAAATCCCGGGTGGTCACCTATCCGGGATCAAGCAGCAACGGACACAGCTTAACCTCAAGTGCCATGCGGCACCTGAGATGTCCACTGCGCCACACCTCCAGATATTAGACTGTTTCAAAAAAAAAATTTTTTACCTCTACTACGAAAAATGGTAAAAAAAAGCGTCTGGTATAAAATGCTCATTTGCAAAAACATTAATTTCCCATAACCCGCATAATATTTTAGGTTTTTTTATACACGCAAATCACAATACAATAAACATTTCTACCATACGGCGTGTAAAAGCTTGTAAAAAGCTCTTCAAGATTAATTATAACTATAATATTGGTTTTATATTGAGTTTTGTCAAGTAGTTTGGCCGGTAAAATCATCGGAATAAAAAAAGTAAAAATGCACCTAATGACGGGGGATGACGGTGAAAACGAGTATTCCAATGACGAATTAACAAAACATGTACTTAATATAGTTATTTTTCAAACCGTTCATTTGATTGAATATTAGAGAATTGTTCACATAGATGTAGTAATTATATATGTTGCCTCACAGCGCACAGTAGCTAGAATATAAATACCAAAAATCCCGAGATTATCGATCCTAGACTTCCAAGAGGATTACAAATTAGAGATCCTGCTAAAATTACAGAGGCTCAATATCGTATAAAAAAGAAAAGTAAACAATAAACTAATAATATAGGTACGTGTATTTTTTATTTTACTTTTTTTCATATTTTTATAACACATATTCATATCTTTTCATTATATATGACAATTTTTTGAATTCGTAATGTATACAAAATGTGTACAAATGGTTGTATTATAATGTATAATTACTAGACATAAAATTTCTTTACAAACTTATTATTATATTTATTTTTTCTACAGTGTAAATTATCTACTTGTACCTAATACCTATATTATTAATTTATAATAAAAAATATAATAACTATAGCGCACATCACACATGGATCAAGTATTACAAATAATAATAAAAATAATAATGGAACACAACAAATAAATGCATAGTCAGGAATAACAATAATCGGTTCGTACAGAAATAAGCAACTATTGCCGCGCGCACCACCGTTACCTTCAAAACTTAGATCTCTCTCAAATCATTCAAGTCGTGTTCTCAAAAAAAATTATAAACCTTCTACCCAACTTATCGCGGCCTCTCATTTATAAAAATAAAATCATTTACCTATTCAGATTCCTGTTTTACTTTTAGATAGAAAAATTAGATTGTTAACTCGGTAAATTCCAATGTACTGATTAGTTTCTTGAAATTGTATAGGAACTTGATTTATCACCATAAATTATTTATTATAAGCGGTATTTTTATAAAAAAAAATCATTTGAATTGTCTTAAAATAAATTAGAAATAAGTTAACTTTAAAAATGAATATCTGGAAAAAACACTTTAACCTGCCTGCAATGTCTTTAAAATGTAAGAAGATTCCATAGCTTTTTTCTTTTGTACAAGAATGGATTTTATTTTTGTTAAAATCAATATAATAGATTTTACAATCTTAAGTTTATGTAAAAATTAAATTAGAATGATCATAATATAATGATCATCAAGTGAATCGCTAGTCAATAGTACCTGAAAAATAGTTGCATAATGTTGTCAATACATAATACACGGGGAACAATGGCAACAAGCTATTGTAGACAACGACCACGGACCAGCCTTAACCTTATCCACCCTTATACTAAAAACAACGTTTTTTAGCCAATTAGGTATTGTCTTTAAAATAATTTTTATCAATACTAAAATTTGTACTATTAACAAATTCCCATCGATGATCGAAATGTTTTATTTGGAAACAATTTCATTACTTCGTTTAAGTTGCAAATGTTTAATGGTTTAAGTAGGATTGCTTTGGAACGCCTTAAATGTAATTTTGCGGTGTCAATATGTATTACTTAAGGAAGAGTCGAAATATAAATACCTAAGCAATTTTCGTGTTAAAGGGATAAAAAACTTTAAAAGGAGCAAATCAGACTATCAGAGATTTTATGACCTTTGCCGTTTGCGTTTTGAAAATTGACATATGTTTTAAAACCTGAATATTATTAAGACCATAAAAGATAGACCTAATTCAAATGATGAGACTGAGAAACATGACACATTAAAGCGGCAAATATGAAATTATCTCCTACTATTAGGTATAATTAGTAAATATTTTGTTCATGAGTCATAAGTCTTATTGCTTCCATTAGCAATCAAATATTCAAATGGAAAATGTTATCATCTTATCAATTTTTCGTCCCAACGCGTCCGACCATCAGTGATGCCGACTTCTTGTCGGTATAGAGGTCTTATTCCCGTATAGCCTTTTGGTTTTTTCCCGTTAATTAATTTCACCAGTTCTTATGTCGAGTCATTAGTTTAAGCTATTTACGAATTATCGTTGTTTTACACTTTAAATTTGGCCAATGTCCATCACTCATCTGTATTTAGCGTCGGCGTCTACACAATGGCAATATAGATAAAAGATATTTTGTGTGCCGGACATGTCCGCACTGTAATAACACAACAAGCGACGCCTCAGTAAAATCATAATTTCACAATGTTGTTATTTACCAAACGACTCGACTGCTGAGTAGACGAGTCGAAGAGTTTGATATTAATTTTAAATAATAGTGCTCATCCGCCGTGTACGATAATGTCTGTGGATCCCTTCCGTTTCGATAAAAGTAAGTTACGATTACAGTCTCTTCTTTTTTTTTTTTACTTTTATGTATTATTATTTTTTACCCGAGTAAACTAATAAGGTGATTCAAAATTGACGGTGATGAAATTTAAATACGAATGAGGACATTTTAGAGATATTGAAAGTAGGTAGCTAAATTAAATATTTTACATTGGATCTGCTGGACAAAATTAAGTAGAGTATATTTATCTAAGAGGTAGCATTAAGTTTGTATCTGTAGTAGCAATAATTAATGAGATTAGGGAATAGTTAATACAGGCAGGAGATACAACAGAGAACGAGGTCAAGAAAACAGCAGTAGCGTTTGATCTTATGAAAAGTGAACAAAGAGTAGCCATTATTTATAAAAAGTAGGTGAGTTTTGTTGAAAGTGAGTTAAGATGATATGAATTAGGTAATAACAAATATTGTTAAAATTTTGAGTAATATGCACTGATTGGATAGAAATCTACTAAAAGAAAAGATTTTTATGAGTAAAGAAAAAACCAGAATGCTGCAACAATCATTTTTATACAAATATATGCAATATTTCTTTTCATAATAAATAAATAAAAATTTTAAAATCACAATTACGTCAATATGATTTGAATCGTTTGTTATTTGACAGATGACATAGTGCTGTGTTACCACAGATCTATGTTATATGAAGCAAAGTGCCTAAAACGACGAATTGGACCTGACGGTGAAGTGAACTACTACATTCATTACATAGGGTGGAAAACGAAATGGGATGAATGGGTTCACGATGATCGTGTTTTGTCTGTAAATGAGTTTTCGCTTGACCACATGAAAACACTCCAAGACCAACAGTAAATATGTGTTTTAATATTAATATTGTATCGAATGCAATTATTATGTCGTCAATTTTACCAATAATATTAATTTTTTTTTGAGAGAGAGAGCGATTTTTAAATTTTCACATTATTTATAACATGAATCGATCAGTCTAATTAAATAAATACTTTTGTAATATTTTCAGCAAGTTTAAAAAACATTTTAGCAAAGGAAGAGTTGGCAGACGTAAAAAAAATACTGAAGTAAACCAAACCACTGATGCTCCATTTTCGGCTACTGAAGAGTCTGGTAATTAATTGAAATTAAAAGTTAAAATTTTTTGACCTGAAACGTTCCGGAAAAAAATCCAAATTTTACTAATTTACTTATTTATTTAAATAGAACCATCTTCTAATCCGGTTTTGGTGGCATTCAGAACTGTTGAACTAATAGAAAATAACATTAATAACTTACCTGCCATACAAGAGTTTTTGGTAATATACCTTTTTATAATTAAATTATTATCTTAATAAGTATTTTGTTTAACAGAAAATTGTTATTATAATCTTTAGAACATTGTTATGGCTGATAATTGATGTATGTGTTGAACGGATGTACATATACAGCCAAACAGTTCCATCCAAATTCACTGTTATGCATCTCATTGATGGTTATATCGATTCCAAACAGAAATCAACAATATTTGTTAGGTAATTATTGTTTTTCTTACAAAGTTAATAGTATAATAGTGTGGAAAATATAATAAGATATTTTTAGGGAAAGAGCTTTGTGTGTTGGATCGACTTTTATTCAATATTTTAATTCACGAATACAGACACTGCTATATGCGAAAGAACGTAATAATGAAGTGCACAATAAAGTAAATTATTTTTCGTTGATGAGGTTTTATGTAATGAGAATTTTTATTTAATAACTTTACCAATATTTTTCTTTTAGGCTGTTGCTCTGTTATCAGAAAAAATAAGACTTGACAGTTTACAATTCAAATATAAAAACATTTATTCGGAAGACTTGTGGTGTACAGTTTATGGACCCATTTATTTACTAAGGCTATGTGGTACGTATGAAATATTGACTTTGATGTTAGCGAAATGATGTTTTATTAATTCCTTATAAACGCGTTCTGGAGCTCATTTAGTGAAAAAGAACACCTTCCTTACACTCAACCGTTTTTGAAGTGCTTTTTTCCAAACATTGATAATAACATTTTATATGGTCTTACACGAAGTGCTATCCTAATAAACATAATTTTTTAGTGTTTTTGTAGTGTCCTAATTATATTTTTTATACATATACCTATGTGTATTTTAGTATTCGATACTTGATGACATATTAATGGATTTTAATATATTTTTCAGTTAATTTGAAAAAATTTCTAAGACCAAAGTCCGTGACCGAAGACAACCAGCTCTCTTCAATTGCTGATAGCATAAATGATTTTTTCAAGTAAGAATTAAATTTTTTTTTTTAATTTAACGATCCATTTAGTTAAACTATTATATTTATTATGGTTTATATAAAATAATAATCAAATGAACTTGCTGGTTCATCTATGGTTATCATTTTTAATAATAAAAAAAAAACCGGAACACTATTTTGTCCAAACTTCTAAAGAAAGAGCTTCAATAAAAAATTGAAAATTACTTTTTGCACCTTTTGATAATAACCTTTTGATTTATTATTATAAATAATATTTTGATAATAAGTATTATTATTTTAAATTACTTTAATTTATTAATAAAAAAAACGTTTTAATTTCTTGTTTTGTATTAATAGTTCACTGACTAACTTTCAAGTTTCATTTTTTTTTTATACAGTTCAATAAGTACATCTTTATTTTTTTTTTGTAAAAATGAGTGGCAAGAATTAGAAATTTTCTTTTTTTTCTCATAGAAAAAGTCATATTTTTTTCTACCCAAAATTCTATTTTAGTTATTTTAAAATCTTTTTTTGAATAGTTATTTAAAAATAGTTAGCGTTTAATTCCACTACTTTCTCCACACTTTCGAAATCTAAATCAAAATTAATAATTATTGCTCTATTTTTATTAATATTTTGATAAGATAGCTGATAAAGAGAGAACCTAACCATATTCTAAGAACCGGACAAAAAGCGTCCAGTCGAAAGTCAGTTAGTGGGACAAGGGAATATTTAGCTCCAAAAAGGGACAATCCCATTTTTAACGAGACGTATGGTCACCCTAGGCTAAGTGAGAAGGTTAAGTGAGTGATAACTCGTGTTTTATCGTAGAGGGCCATGCGATTCAGTAGGAATTAGACAGAATATGTTGAGATAATTAGAGATATGATTTATTAGCAAAGATAACTTCTGCAATAGATTCATCGCTTTATGCAAGGTGTAAACAACAGAATGCGTTGAGGATGTATAGTACAGAGTTAGATAAATAAGATAAATGATGGTAGGGTTGAAGCAACAATGTGAAGTAGCTTACATTTTTAAAAACTGATCCGTAAAAAAGCCACATTTGTTTCAATCTCAACTTTAGTCAACAATCGACGTGCAATTCAAATTGAGCAGTCGTGTACGTAGGTATCGACTATAGTTTGATGGTAAATTGTTTAGTTATTTTTTCAAAAAATAAAAAAAACATTTGGGTCTAAAATATAATTTTATTCTTATGTTATGAAACATCAACACTGTTTTCTGACAACCTTTCTATAAAATGTCTTTGTTAAAATATTTGTTTTCAGGTACCTAGAACAGCAACATTCCAAATATTTTGCCAACGATGACTACGAACCTGCAACTGATACGAGCGAGACAGAAGTATCGTTAACATAATCTATTTTTCACATCACTAAAAATTCATCCGCTCAATTCTTAGTTTTCTTCCTATTTTGATATAAACTAAATTATTTGAGCAGTGAAGTATAATTTTATGTATTTTATAATGTGTTCAGAATTTATATTTGAATTTTTTTCTACGTCATCCATCGCACATTCAACTTTTTTCCTCTTTTTATCTTTTGACTTATCAATTTTTTTTTTTTTTTTTTTATGACGTAACTGACGTTTGGTCGATAATGTACATCAATTTTTAGTCATAATATTATTTGTACTTTTACTAGTTGTCCAAATGTATATTTTTTCAGTCAATTATCTATTTTGTATATTGTCATTATATTTTTTGTTCAATTTTATTCGTAAGCCAACTAATAATTATATTTTTACATCAATTATTGTCACTTGCTATTATTGAATGTGCCAATATTTTTCCTTTTTTAGTATAAGATAGTACCTACAGTTTGGTTATATGTTCCTGAGTGGTACCAAAAATAAATAAATTGTATCCATACTCTTTTTAATCCCACCTTAATTTCTACTCTACGCTTGTACGAACGGTCCATCTGTTCAGGTCAAATTTATTAAAACGAGTTATTATTATTCTTTTAAGTAACTTTTATATTAATTGTATACAATATACCTTGTGTTATTTTTAAGTGATACTAGCAATTTTTTGTGTTGCATGATTTAATTGTATTTTTAAGCTTGTGTCAATACGAATGCCAAATAAAATATTTATTTACTTTTGTCTTAAAATTGTTTAAAACACTTTTTTTAACTTGAGAAATTATTATAAACTATAATGATTTCTGATTTTATAAAGACGAATGTAGTAAAAAACATAATAGTTAAGGTTCGAATGATTTTTCATAAATATTAATTTATAGAAATAACGATTGATAAAATGAAATAAAATAACCAGTATACAGGTATTTTTATGAGTTATATGTGCAAGCATTTAGTGAAAAGATGGCAATATGTACCTTGAGTGATTACATGATTATAATAATTAAAGTATTGAACAAATTAAAAACAAAGTTAGATGTTTAGAGTTTGAATATTTGTTCCACACATAAATTGTCATTTATTGGTAAATAATCAAATATTTTTTAGACCTGGTTACTGAATGGCTTTAGGTATTATTCTTTTTTTAAAATTAATGTGCTTTTATTTAAACAATATTACTGCACGACAATTACAGGTGTTAGGTCCTTATCGAGGCAAAAAATGTGTTTCCCTAATCCAAAGAAGTTCGATTTATGGCATAAAATTTTGATTCATTTAGAAAATCCACTCGCACACACATTAGATGATTTGGCATGGAGTGACTATAAAAAGTAGTTTTTCCAAATAGGCAATAGTTATTTAACTTTCAAATACAAAAACTTTATCTTCAAACAAAATCTGTAGTGTTACCCTATCAAATTGTTTATAGGGGGTTATCTTATGTATTTTATAGAGCAAGAATTAAAATGGGTACATTCATTTATTATTATTTTTTTTTTTGCTAAATCTGATTCGGGCCTTAGATTTTTTCAAGCACGTTTAGTTATTTTTCAAATAACCTCTAAAAATGTGAAATAAACCGCTTTGTGTATTATTTTTAGCATGTTCGATACGGTTGCATAATTATCTAAAATATACTTCAAATAGAGTATTTGTGTTTAGAACTAATCTAAAAATTACTTAACAGTTTTTACAATTTTTTTTTTTTAAACCAAAATAAAAATTTTAATTTTGTTTTTCACAAATAATTTTTTACAATACACAAATACACTTTTATTTTGTGTATTGTAGTTCAAAAATGTACATGCTAATGAAAATAGTAGGCCAATTTCGGATTCATTAAATAGGTATATCCTATTAAAGTAGTACTTTTTTCACTCTTAATTAAGAACGCTTTGGCTGGCATAACTTGAGCATTACAATCAATTTAGATCTTAAGAAAGACACTATTGTGACGGTCGTTCCTTTTGATGGTTCAATTTACATGGTTCAATGGGCTAGGCATATATAGGTGTATCACAATGATCCGACAGCTTCGCATATAAAATGTATGAAAAATCTGTTAGATGACTGATACACCCTATATACTATAAAGAGCCTGTCAATTAGTGTATTATTTAGATTGGGTCCTGTCCCTACATCCTGTCCTTGTACCTACGGTTTAACAAATGAGCCGTTTTATAATTCTACAATAGAACTTTGATGTATTATAAGTTAAAACGAGTCTTGTCTGACCGTTTCAAAAATATTTATTTTTTAAGATTATTTTTCTAATAAGAATTCTTGCCCTATTTTAATTTTTAGACCACGATAATTAGAGTTACAATATTATATTATTAGCAATTCCGTTTATTAAACATACATTTATTATTTAATTGCTAAAAATGAATTTACTGTGTTAGTTCACTATACAAACTTACAGACCTCGCCATGTAAATGGATTTAAAAGTTACTATTATATTAACTACCCTTGTGCAGACTTGGTTATTATTTTAATACTATATATTGAAATATCAATTTAAATGATAATTTCAAAAAAATCTGTGTCTAAATGAATAATAAATAGCTTATAAAAGTTGTAATAATAATTAAATTTAGAAATGTATTGAATTAAAAATTCAATAAATTTAATATTTGCCAACCTGAAAAAATATAAACTAAACCACCTAAAATATTTGAGTCTTTATTTTAGAAATGCTGAACCGGCTATTCGATTAGGTCGTCATTCAAGTAAGCGAAATGGGTAATATTATGGAAAAATGTTTTTATATAAGAGAATATAATATATTTTACTATTTTGATGCGCTGAAAAAAAAAATAATCATTTTCCACGTGGATGCCATGTTGTAACATACCTGGATATTATAGGTTTTAATTTTTTTTTAAGTTTCTTTGGAATTTGAAATGCCAACTGGCGTGTGAAAGGGTCAAATTTCTTATAGACTAGGTATCTATACAATTGAGTACAGAGTGTTCGGTTGTACCTACACACACGGTCATTGCCGTCCAACGACTACCTACCTGAATAAAGTACCCTGTAGGCTATAGTTTATAGGTACCTACACCGGATAAATTTCATTATTATAGGTAATATACGAGTATGATATTTTATTATGTCTAGATGCCTACCTAATTGTTGTGAATAAAATATTCCATATGGGTCAAAACTCCAAATATGAACAAACGTTTGAACAGACCACCAGTCAATTTTTTTTTCGATTATTTTGGTCATGGCCGTAAAAAGTATTTTGAGTTTTTGCCTTGATACTTCTTTATTATCATTATTTTATCGTATCTTCGGCCTTAAAAAAAAATATATATATATATGTATATATTTATTAAAAATAATTTTTTTATGTAAAATAATCTCAGCTTTCTAAAAAAAAAGGGAAAATTACCTAATTTTTACACATAATTATTTTAACTATTTTTAATACTGTGGTCGTTTTTATATGAATTTTGACCTCTTGTTTTTATGGAGATCCCAATTTGAAATTTACACATATTATGTAAAATTTCCTCGGCTTTCTGAAAAAAACTATTAGAAAAAATCTCAAATTTTTGGTAACATGAAAAAAACAAATTTTTACATTATAAATTCAATTTTGATGACCTTAACATAATACTTATGTATAATAATATTATGTTTTTGGTTAAAGTACAAAACCGACAAAGTTGTCTACATAATATTTTTTCCACGATTAAAAAACATTCATTAAACGCTTATAAAATCGTTCAATAACACAATACAACGTTGTTATATTTTTTAAAATTTTTATTTTTGGGACCTACAAGCTACAGCTACATATTCTGTTTAACTTATTGCTGTTATTGTAATTTTAAAATTGGCAATTGACCATGTTGTTTTTTTGTCAATTTTTAATATTCTTCACGGTTTAACAGCGTTCTATTTATCCTACTCTATATAGCTGCTAAGTAAAGTTTCTTTCAATAAATCTAGAATTCAGTCAACATTACACCACTCTAAACAGAAGACTGTTGATAATTGTTTTGCTTTTATAAACAGGATTTTCATAAAAGCATAGTGCTATTCTGGACAGCCTTCTAATTTTTATCGTTTTTAAAACTGTCCAGTGTACTTATATTATTAAAATTTGTGTGTAGTTTTGTTATATTTAATGTTTTTATATTTTTTTAAATGTTATTTGTATGTTCCCAATTGATATAAAAACAAACTACTAGTTCTACACTAACTCTAGATTATTAGATTAATATAAAATGTATGTACTTGAAAGTTAGACAATCATAGTAGCTAAAATACATATTATTGCTGTGTCAATAAGAATATAAGGTTGTCGGCCTGGGAAAAATAGGATTTTTTGCTCTAGAATAATGGTTAAAACCCTCTACCCAAAAACTACTAACGTTAACATATTATATTATTCCAACTGTTCGCTTTGTCGACAAACGGGGTCCTTCTTTCAACAAAAAAAAAATAGTATGTTTAAACAGGGGTCGGACCCTCGTTCGACCCTTCTTTTCCCCAATGCATTATTACCGACCGGCTGTGAACCTTACTGGATATAATGGGTGTAGCACAATATCCTTCAAAACACAAAATATACAGGGTGTGTCACAAACATCTGACAAACGAATAATTTTTGTTCCGGTGAATATTTTTAAGATTTTTTTTTCAACATTTATTTATGCACATTTGCGCTTTAAGCGCCGCGTTATTTATGGCAGTTTTAAATAATTATTTTTTAAGTTATTAAAAGTCAAAATTTAAGACGGGTAGGGTTAGTTAGCGTAGGTAACGAAAAAAATAAAAATAAAATTTATAAAAGTAAAACAGTTAGAGAGAAATACGAACCGTGGTTTTTATAATGCAAATAAATATAAATAAATTTAAAAAAATGTTTTTTAAAAAATATTTACTAGAACAAAAGTTATTTTATTTGTCAAATCTTTGTGATACAACTTGTATACATATATTGTACATACAGTGTGATAAATTCAACGTAAGACACTCATTTTCCTAGAGAATATTTGCAATTTTGAAAACATTTTTGTTTATTTTCTATTCATATTATTATAAAATTACTAAACATTTACCATTTTTAATATTTTCCACAGCTCTGTCGAAACTTAAATGTTAGCATACAAATTGCATTAGGTATTTAAATT